ACTTTTCATGAGTCACAACAAAATGAGAAAAATATACTTTATTTCACTTTTCTTAATGTTTTCTCCACTAAAACACAAACTTATTGTTATGTTGTGATTGAAGTTGGGTTTGGGTTTGGGTTTGAAGAACCTGTTTGTCATTCATATAGATATATACAGCGATAGAGTCAGCCATTCATTGACTCGACTTTACAGTTGAGTCTCTACTCTATTATACAAGTGTTGGAGTGTTGGCCACAACTGTCTGTCCGCCACAAAAGCCCTTTTTATGCCTTCACTACTCGTCCCAAATATAACATTACATACAATCTTAACGCTAACCTTGAGTTGAGTTCACTTAATATTATATCAATGAATGAATACATGCTATGAATGAATGGCACATAAACTGCAAGACATCGCTAACACTACATGTCTTCATATGATGGCACTCTTGTCTCCAAAACAATACTACAAATGTCTTATCATTACATAAGACATTACTTACATTACTTGTGCTGTTTCTTGGAAACCATTCACACAAATCTATATTAATTATTGACAAGTTTTTTGAATTAAAAAACATGATTATTCTGTGGTGTTATAGGTGTAGGAGTTGTCCAATTGTGTTGATTTAGTGTAAAAGTTATTTATAATAGTATTCGTAACCCTTAAGGGATTTTCTTGTGATATCCTCCCTATAATAAACACACCGTACATTCAATTTGATAAATATTTATAATTCAAAACTAATTACTGTATTTCCTCTTAAAATTTACTGATGTTTTTATTCTCCGCTGTATTTTCAAAATCTTTTATCACTTATCACTGATTGATCTCATAATCTTTGTCTAGAATCTTGATTTTTAAAAATAATTAAAAATTTTAATTATTCAAGAAATGCAAAACATGTTAAAAACAGAGTCTGAATCATCTCTTGGACTATATTCCATGCAATGACTCATATAATGTTATATAACTTTTTAAAGCCACTAACGTTTGGCTGCATTTTTGTTTTATATAATTTGAAATTCAATCTTAAAATATGAAATTATATTCTTTAGTAATTCAATTCATTTAAATTCTAAGTAGAAATAAAAGATTTGTTTTGTTTAATTGATAGCATTTAAATATTTCTCGTTTCAATGTGTTATTTGAAGTCAATAAAAACTTTGACTTTTGTGCGCAATTATTAGTTGTAAAACTTTTTTGACTTATTTTTTCGTATAATCTATAATTAGCGTGAATTGAATGCATAATTCATAGCGTTTGGATAGCATTAAAATGAGCAGAGATTTGAATAATTGAATGCTTAGAAAAGTGAATAAAAGAGAAAATGATTACGAAATGAATTGGAGATAAATGTATGAAAAAAGTGAAGTTTATTATTAGGACTATAGCTGCGAATAAGTCTACAATTGAATGCAATTCTATCCGTTGCAGTGAAATGAGTGGATTGGGTGTCATCTCATCCAGTGCTCAGTGCTCTGTATTGTAACTTATATTATGTTTGATTATATAGTTATGTATAGTTAGTTGACTTCAATTTTCCCATAGCCTTGAAAATGCAGTGAAAAGCCCTCGGGTCTGAGGTATACGTTTGAAGAGTTATTATTAATGGTCTCGTCTTTTTGTTTATTATAATTCACTTGTTTTCTCTCAAAATACGAGAATTATTCAATTCTTGTCTCTAATTTTTATTATTTGTATTACTTTTTCCCAAGAGTGCTACACATTTGATTCATTACATCTCATTATTTGAGTTATTTTACACCAATAAATAATATGTATCTTAACGTAACCTAACTATTTAGCGCTAAGTCTTAGAGCAATGCTAATGAACTCGAGATTCAGTGCTTTGTTTGGCCATTAATGGCAAGAATCCAGTGGTCGCTCGCGTGTCGTATTTGGATAGCATTTAAACGCTTCAACTCTCATACACTTACACACCATTTAAACCATTATCTTACAAATGGCTCCTAAACAATATCAACATATTCACGAAAAAATGTATATAATTTCAAAGAAAAATGTCATTCAATGTGTTTTCTACTCTGTATGTACAGTGATATGATTGTCCATTAGTTTAGTTCACAGGCATTCTTAGCGTTAATAGCAATGATTGGTTTCTCCTCTCATTCTTTGATCACATCTCTCACACAGTAGTCATTGAAACATAAAACGAGTCATTTGTGTGAGAAAAGTATAACTCAAATAACTATCAAAGAACTTGTTTTTCATTTTATTCCTTTCGTTTGATATATTGGTTACAATTTTTGCTAAATTTGAAGGTTTTTATGTGTAATTATAATTAGATTTTCAATTTTAATGCATATTTCTCACTATAAAAATGTATAAGCTTTGAAATTGAAAATAACTTTCAATTATATTGTAGTCAATGGATAAGCAAATCACTTAAAACCGCATAATTTTAGGCGAATATTGAACGCTTGGTTTCTTGTGTATACTATTATTGCGAAAAATCGATTTCTAATGTAAATTATTTATACATATATTTGTTGAACATTTCCTTGAATATCAATTTTAGTGAAAATTAATTGCAAACAATATAGATATGAATTTTAATTTGCGATTTATTTTTTGCGTTTTTCAATGAAAATCACTTATGGTTTAACAGAAAGGCATTATAACAAGCGAGCAATAAATAATAAATACATTATTATTAATAACTTGAACTATATTTCTGAATAACTAATAACTGAAACCAAAAAACTTGAAATGTTTGCAATAAAGCTATTAATTTGTCTCTATTTTCCTCGTTATTCAAAAAATGAAAATTAATTTTAGAATAATATATATATAATAAATTGTATAATGTTTTTGTGTTTAAGTATTGCCACATAATTCATGTTAATTACGCCAATAGTTTTGAAAAGCAGTAAATGAGCAAAAATATGTTTAAATGCAGTAAATATATCTATTGTAGAGAATATGTTATGGTTTTATAGATAATTATTTCGAAAGCTTTTGGAAAGAAATCTTTTGAGAGCACACTTTGGCTGTAATTGTAATTATACAGGGTATCTGTTTTCACAATAACTGTTTTACTGGTAAATGTAGTTGAATTTGGGAATCGCTGTCATCGCTGCTAAACACAGTTTCCTTCCTCAGGAACTAAAAGACTTACAAATATATTGAATAAATTGAATGTGTTTTGTAACTGATAAGAGATGCAGAGCTGGTAGTCGTATTACAATACACAGTAGGCCTAACAGTATATTTCACTACAAATCTATTATAAATTCAGACTTAAATGAACCAAAAATTGTTTGACATTCTTATTGGCTCTCAAACTAATTGTAAACTACTTATAACTCGAGATGAATACAGTTTTCTACGGATAGTCTCGTGTAAGTCGTTTGTTAGTGAGGTTTAGATGCAAATGTTTGACTCGTCTCATAGGACAGCCTCCATAGTGTCGATAACATAGCCTCTACTGTGAGCTCAACATCAATACACTTAACACTCTATTCTAAAAGTAATGAACAATACATTTGGGAAAGTGTTTGTGGAAAAGGCTATAAAATGATGAATTGTAGACTTATTTAAATAGTGTTTGTCCACACCCTTCCAAAATAAGAGTTTATTGTTTGAATAGAGCCATTATAATTGAACAACACTTGAATACCAGAGTATATATTTGTTGTGCATCAGTGAAAGTGAATAGATTTGTGCTTTTGTTGCCAATTCTCAACACAACTGAACCATCTCTGGGCTCAGGACTCACTCTATCTCCATCTCCAATCACACCATTCATACAACACTTGCTTTGGACACTCCTTTTGATAAAAATTTAATGCTCGCAACTCAACCTCTCATCCAACAAACATTACTCAAGTAAATGCATATCATTTAAAAGTCCGCACAATGCCCTCCCTGTCCTTCTGTCCTCGCAATACAATACAATTACGAATCTTATCGCTTATCTAAATATATTTCTATCGTTTAATAATATTTTTAAAATTATTTTATTGATAGACATGTCATAAGTAGCAATTTCAGTAGCGATTCATATCGTATTGAAATGGGAAATAATTTCTGTTTTCTTTGAAACTTTTAACGACTCCTTTCCATATACACCAGTATTTGGTTCAATGATTTTGTTCACTTATAATCTGATCAAACTTTAAAACTTTAAAACTTAATTTTATTTGTGTATATCATGATAATATCTCAAATAGTGTCTACATTTAATTAAGAGATATAGAACTTATTAATTTGTTTTAATTATCGTTTGCATTAAATTATCGATTATTCTGGTCATACATATTCTAAACAGCCATTTATCTTAAAGTTTTTGCAAACATTACAAACATTTAATCTTTCACTTTGTAACATAATTAACACAAAGTAATATGTTCTTAAAGTTTGATAAAATAAATCTAATTGCTAATATTGCAGCTTTTAATCAATGCAATTGCTTTTTGAAATTAATTAGCCGTTTGTGATTTGCAATGGGGTTTTTCGTTATTTTACAATTTATTACTTATACAAACTATTTTCATAGAATTTCCGAATTATGAATTTGTCAAATTGTATTAACTATATCACTAATTCTTAGCAATTTATTTATACAGTATAAATTCATTAAATCATGGGCATTATTCTTTAATATTTTGATAAAAGTTGAAATCTTAAATATTAATTACTTGTTGAATTAATAAATTAATTCTTTAATATATTTCTGTATTAATAAATTCTGTGAAAGGTTTGCAAAAATAAAATAATTAACGAAATTAATTGGATATCAGATTACAGAACACTTGTAAGAAGTATTTGATTTGATTGAACGAAACATTTCTAAAATTATTTGACAGATGGACTTAAATGATTGTTTAATTCAATCAATTTGGCTAATTAATTGAGTTTAATTATCTTAACTTATATTGAGTCCCATTGAATGGAAAAATATGAATTCACGTAAAGTAGTTGCTATACTATCCACACGAGAAGTAAGTTTTCATTAGTTTGTTTTCGTTTTCTGCTAATTATTGTTGTTTTGATTATTAATATTTAATTTAACGAAAGTTATTGTCGAAAGTGTAAAATTAGGGCGAATTCATCGAAGCGATCATTTCTTATGGCTTATGTGTTGAATGCAGTGAATGTGTTGTATTATTGTATATATCTTTTATAGCAATCTTTCGACATTGCACTCACTTTTGTGTCCAAACACTCGCTATTGCAGTCAATGTCATGTTCTCTGACACAAAAAAATGAAAGTGTTTTTCAAGTAATATAGCATTAATTAGAGACCAACTCTTGCATGCAATTTCACTATTTTCTGCGAATTGTATAACATTTCTCCTATTCTTTGCATTATAAGAGCAATGCATTTATAGTATTAGTGGTGATGGCTATGAGTGCTATAAAAGTGTAGTATTATTATAATATTATATTTTCTGCTAATTTGGTCCAATCGACTAAAATGCCATATTCTGTAACCTTGTCGTCGGCGAGAAAGTTGTAATCATAATGAAAACAGTTTTAAATTAACTGCTCTTATATAGCAAGTGTAAGTGTGTGTTATGGCATGCGAGTCAACATAACTATAACTAAATAGTACTGTAAGTAGATATGAAGTCTGCAACAGATACTGTACCATATATTAGTGTACATTAATATTAATATTTGGTATTCGTTTGAGTTAAGCAAACGTAATGAGAGTTTATGTAAAAGAAATATTTGGTCGAATGAAGCGAACCAACCAAATGGCTTCACTTATTACCATTTATTAGCTATTGGTGTCTGAATGGGACTTATTGTGCCAAGGACTGGTAGGACTGATATACCACTGGCAGTCAACACTAGCACCACAACTCCAACTTCTATCAATAATATTGTCTCCACTTTCACATAATTTCACTTATAATTGCACATCCATTCAATAATGTGTATACAATGTGTACAATACCTCCACTTTTGTCTCTATCTATGTTTAGCCCTTTAGGCAATCGTTTGCTTTTGTTGCTCTTATCGTAATAACAAACTTTTGCTTTCATTTGTATTGTTCTGTTTGATGACAAAACTTGTTACCAGTATTTGTATGTTTGGACCAAACCATAAAACTCCACTTTATTGCTGTAGTCAAGTGTCTGACAATTCATAGTAAGGACTGTCGTATTGTTGTGGTCTCTCTCAGACACAATCAATCTTTTATTAGAGTAAGCCTTCCATAGTGTCAGTCATGTGTCTTGTAGTGACAAATTGTAACATCAATACTAGTGAAGCCAATAGTTCAGTATTGCCTGTGCCTGAACATAATCAACAACATCTGCAACAACCGCAACAATTTGGATATTTGGCTGCAAATACATCCAATACATCCCATTCCTCCTCTAATGCCAATAACTCTCACTTCTCATACAGTCTTACATACGCTCTCTTAACTCAGGGCTCCGCTAACTTGCGATCAAATCAACAACTTTGCAGCTCTTGTAAGTAAACTCAAAATATCATATACTCCACAATAAAATGCACTTATTATTATTAATAAAGTTAATAAAGCAGATTTGAGTTGTTGTGAACTCACAAAATGTTTTTCAACTTTCTCTCTTTCTCTCTCTCTCTCTCTCTCTCTCTCTCTCTCTCTCGTCTAAATGAATAACTTAACGCTTAAAAGGTTAACAAAGAGTTGACTCTCATTTAATGGTTGCAAATATTCTGGTTGTATGTCGTGATGACAAACAATTATATTAAATGCTTATCCAATTCCTTCAGTCCAACACTTACTGTATTGTAATTCTTATAACAATTGCTGGTCTGACGTAACAGTCTTATAGCCCCCACAGCCGAGCGCCCCAACACTGTCTCATATGCCTGGCATATGCCAGTGTGTCTTCACTGCCTTTCCCCTCTTGTGGTGTCTCTCCTCCCAAACTTTATATTTTAATGGCTACGGCTCTGGGAGGAGACTGTGAGGCACTGGACTATTCTTGAATGAAGTCGCACAGCACTGGCACTCCACTGCACCACTCTATCTATACTCTGAGGTCGTGTCAAAGTAGTCTTCCAGTAGTGTTGCCTTTGTTTGAAATAAGTTTGTTATGAGAGATGTGTTCAGTTGGTGTTTGAGTGCCTTCTCTGCCAACTTAGCTAACTGTGCGAAACACCACTTCATACATAGTTTTCGTGAAGACATGTGTCTCACTATTAGCTGACTTTCACTCCGCAACTGATGACCGGATGCTTTGAATAATATTTCTCTCAATGAATTTGTAGTAATTCTTGAGGTGTTGTTATCAGTTGTAGTATTTTTTGTTGTAATCGTATTTAAGTTTCAATTGAATACCTCATACCTCGTACTCTCGTCCCTCTCATACCTCATCCCTGAGTCGTGACAACAACTTTCGTTGAGAGCGTTCGCCAAATGATTAATAAGTGTTTAAAACTCTTAGATATGATGTGAACAATGATTTACTAGTGATTTGCCAAAAGTATTGTGTGACTGATCTTCAACTCACTTTAGGTGTTATTATTAGCCAATAAATGTTTGGCCTCACAGTGGCCTCAATAGTCTTGCGGTGCTTTTGATGTCAATATTATTGTCTTATAGACTGTTTTATATGGTATTCTTTATATGCTTTTAGCACTTGTTTGCTGACCTCACCATAGCTTACCACAGCTTACCATAGCTCACAAGCAACTTATTATTAATAATTCGTTGTGTAATTCATTTGAAAACCATTGGACAATACAAATATACAATACGTTTGTGGGATCGACTCGTATTTCTAGTCTTGCATTTATTGCTCACATCTTTTAATATATATTTAGACATTTATTATATATCCCTATAATTGAAATGTGTTTAATTCCGTTGCCGTCTGTGATATTTGAAGATCCGATTACTGCTTCTCAATATCAGTGCTCTTAAAAAAGTTTGTTTATATTTGGCAACTATTCGCTGCAATCAATGACAATATCGTCAAAATCCTCTCAATAGATAATATTTGTATGAAAAGTGAGACTAAGATGCAAGAGAAAGGAGTAGAGATAATGAAAAAGCCATTAAAGCCATCAAACAATTCACGTCATATGAACTCCAAGATTGGCGTCAATTCCAGTCTAAGCCTATCTAACTCTAAATCCAGAGGTAAACCATTATATCATTTGATATTAACTTTATTTCTAATTCATTGACAACGTTTGAACCGGAAACTAAAGGTTGTCCATTGATGTTGACTCGCATTTAGATAATTACAGCAATTATTTTAGTTTTTGCGGGCCTTTCAGTCGTTTGATTAGTCGTTGCAAATGACTGTTCGCTCGCAGCTATTCCTCCCAATAATTTGTCACAAACTTCTCATTCAAAATGAATATAATTTTCACTTCGCGACCGAATTTCTCGTTTCTTTCACTCTATTTTTAGCCACGAATTAATCGCTAAAATTAAGACTTGCTTTTCATTCAGAATTAGTGCAAAATATCTTTATTAAAAACTTTACTCAAACTTTGCCTCAAAGACTAATTCAAATGAAGCGCGTGTCGAATGCCTACACAATTGATATAATCAAATATTTAAGGCTCTTATTTAAGCTAAATTCTACTCTATGTCTAACATCTGGCGGCCATAAGCTTCTCTCTCTCTCTCTCTCTCTCTCTCTCTCTCCACTCTACTTTTTGGTCTCTTTAAATGGTTCATCAACTGGTAGCAGTTGTAGCCCTAACACCAACAGCCCTAATATATCTGACATGTACTGCACTGGCTGTACATTAGAGCCATGAGTGTATAGATTGTAGATTTTGTGCAAAAAAACTTTTAACTGCTCACAGATGTAAGACGTGGAGCACTGATAGGGACTGGAGGGCATCGTAAGCCAGTGCTGCACTGGCAGTCACTACAGTATTCCACAATATCTACCAATTTATTACTTTCTCCACTAATGAACTATTTTGACAAACTCTCGAAGGACTCAAACTCCTAACACACGTTAAGACACTATTATTTTTGTAATCATTTTTTCATTTTAAAAAACACTTTAATTATGACAATTTCTCTCACATTTGAGTTGTTATGAATCGAAAGTAGACTTTCTATTCATAAGAAAGTAACCGTTTTTTGAAATATAAATTTTATTCTCAGATGTAATCCATGTCAGTGTTTGAGACATATTTCATCGAATCTATTGTATGGGATTGTAGTGAAGGTCTATTTTTTCTTTATTTATTCTCTGATTGCCTTTCTGTGTATGTATGCTATGAATCGGTAGGTTTTTTCTCACGGTAGCGGTCGGTTATCCCCTTTAGAGCTGATGTGAATTTTTCTGTTATGTCGCCCTTTAAAGGACTGGAGGGCTAAGAAGCTCGAGAAATATACGGACTAAGAAAGGGAGAGAACTGGAGATAAGGGGAAAGTGGAGTGCGTTTAGGGCTGAGATGGCGAGTGAGTGTGACTATGAATGTGTTGGTCGCGTATTAGAGCCTTAGTATCGGATCCTCCATCCGGTTTTCATTCATAAAAATGATTTTCTCCTCGTCTTATGCCCCGAAGGCAGCACAGGTTGAGTGCTGTAGTACTACACACAAAAAACTTTTCATTCATTCATTCATAGCTGTATTTTCATTCACAAACTCCACGTATGTCTTGTGTGTATGTCTTGTATCACAATTCTATTGGTCTATTGGTTGCCATCAAATGGTTGGCCGATGGCGTGGGAGCGATGGCAGCGATGCGAGTGCGACACGAATCCACACCATCTCTCTCGCTCTCTCTCTCTCCCTCTCTCTCGCTCTCTCTCTCGCTCTCTCTCTCCCATTCTCTCCTCTATTGATGATTATATATATGTATAAAGTAGTCAACAATGCCTGCAATGACTGGTCGGACCCAGTGTTGGGCCAAATGCATGGGAAAAACAGGTGAAATGGCTCTCTCTCTCTCTCCCATTCTCTCCTCTATTGATGATTATATATATGTATAAAGTAGTCAACAATGCCTGCAATGACTGGTCGGACCCAGTGTTGGGCCAAATGCATGGGAAAAACAGGTGAAATGGCTCGCAGGGAGACTACGCCCTAACGGTATGGCCTTCAGCGGTGCCGACATATCATCTGAACTCATATAACGTAAAACTATGGCATCGATGGCGACACAAATCATTTGTGCCATTATGTGACTCTCATAATAATACACTCTTTTCTTGAGTACCTTTTCATTGAGTCTTTTTTGATGTAAAACTAAATCAATTCAAACCATTAATGAGATTCACTGTCTTTTGTGTTGTTGTTTATAAAGAATATATTGATTTAATTTCATTTTCAAAGTTGCTTTAATGAAATAAATTAAACTCTTAATTACTATCTCTAACCTTAACCTTGTCTTCAATTTCTACTCTTTTATATGGATTACGAGAAAAGCAAAGAAAGAATTTACAAGTTTTCCCATATTATGAATTCATTTTTGATTGATATCGAGAGTCATTAAATTACTTTTCAAGTCATATCTCGTATAAAATTATATGATTTCATAGATTGTTGTAAAAAAAGAAAAAATTCATTCAATCTTTTTTTTATCAATACTTAATGCATGTAATACTGAATACTTAGAGTACTATCTGAATGATCAGTACAAGTGAGTGACTATTCAATGAATTTTCTTTACATGAAATTTCTCTTATTTCTGATAAATTTGGTGTAAAAATAAGAACTACAAGAGAGAGAGGGATCGGAGGGGATAGGAGTGAGTGAGTGGCAGAGAGAGAGAGAGAGAGAGTCTGGAGAGCATATATTTATTTGTTGTTACGATTGCTATTATTGTTTGGTTGGCGTTGTGCTGAAATACCTGTCTTGTTGTGATGGTGTGCCGCCCATCCCTACATGTTTGACCAGTTTTACTCATATAATGTATTATGTAATGAACCTTTGGTTGTGAGCAACACTTGATGTATCGCTCATTATATTGATTGTATGGCAGTCTATATGGAGAGGACTGGCTGTCGCTGGGAATGACAGCTATTGGATGTGAGTCCCGACAATCCCGACAAACAAGTGGAGCCATTGTATTGTGTGATGTGATGGTGTCCTTTGAGTCCTTTCGTGATCACATCAATACAATTACATACCATAAGTGACTCTAAACCTGCATTTTCTAATGGCATGCAAACCGTACAGTAGTAGACAATAGCCTTATCTCTATCGCTGTATTTCTCTATTATAGCCGAATCTGTGATTTTCGCCAATCATTTATATTTTTATCGTTAATTTCTTTCCTATCATTACTCAAATGATTAATGAGCTCAACGGTAGAGACAATCAAAAACATCTCTAAAACAATAATAAAAATATTTTTCAAAACTTGACATCTTTTCAAAAGTTGTTATTTTGAATTCATATCATTAACTCATGAAAAGAAACGCAAAAAAATATGAAACATTTCAGACTTTGTATATAATTTTTCTCTCAAACCTTAACGACAAAAAAATTGCTCGAAATTGACTTTTTTAAAACAGTTGGATATCTATCACACTCTCTATACTTACTCTTACTCTATGTGTGTCTGACATGAGTTCGTTTGCCATCTGTTGTTGTGACCACTTTTGCACTGAAACTCTCATTGCGAGCAATAATTAGTATGAGAAGTGTTGGGATATTTTAGACACTGATTGAACTCATTTACAAATGAATTATACTTTCCACTAATTATTGCTCCAATTATTAATAAATGTAATTTTTTTTAATGATAATTGTATTTAATTAAAATTGTTTTGTTTATAATAATAATTAATTTGCGAAAATTAGCTTTTCTTTGCGTTACGTTTATTAGTGTCTAATTCCCTACATAATTATGTTATTTAAAAATTATTTCATAAAATGCGAAAATTAGTGCTTATACTGATATGTAATACAATAATTGACTTAAACGCTAACTTTGACTTTAATTATTGATAGAAATTAGCCAAATTGCTATTTTATCTATTAATCTGACCTTTTATTATAGAATATTTTAATTCCACTAATATTTGCAATTGATTTCTATCACAACACACTTCCTATTATTTGTCTTACATTTATTTATATAATTTTTACAAAATAATTAAATGAATACAATATCGATAAAGGACATTTTCGATAACTTATTGAACTTAACCTTAGTTTACATTACATTGACTTTACTTTAACAGCGTTAATTGTATTAAAATTGAAATAAACGTTAATTAGATAATATTATAAATGTATTTGTTAGAGATTGATTACATAATTATAAAGTATTATTGATTTTATAAATAAACAAGTGTTAATTCATTCTATTAATTTAGAAAATTATTTTTATTTTAATATTTGAATTTTTGCCATAATTTCATATCATTTTGCTTAAAAAATAAGAATATTTATAATTTCTAGCATTTGATATGCATTTAAGTTGCGAGAAATTATTGCAACAAAATTTCTTAAAAAGTAAAATTAATTTTCTAATGTTAGTAAAACTCATGGAAAGGCTTTTGTGTTATTTATTAATGTCTAACTCATGATAACTGCTCTGTAATGCAAATTAATATTAATTAAATCTACAAAATTTAATACAACTTATCCAATTCATTATAAGTTATATGTGTAATAAATTACTTTCAAACTAAATGATATGAACTTTTAAAAGCATTATTTTCTTTCGTTATTATTACTTTTTAATTTGATATGATAGTGAATATTAAAACTTTATACATTTTCGACAGTGACAAAGAAATGATTTACATATTAAATACTTCTCTTAAAAAGTGAACGCAAACTTTGGTTTGGAAACTAATATATAACTTAAATATACTGTCTTTTAATTTACAATATGTATTATATTTGAAGCATTCGTTTGATGACTAACTAAGAAATATTAGTTTTCCTCTCATTCATCATCTCTAATCACTTCTAACATAAATAGAAACTAATCTTTGCTTACATTACGATCACAAACACAAACCGAAAGAAGTGGTGGAGAACTAGAAAATTAAGTCCCGAATGAAAGACATATTTTTTGAGTTGATTTCCAACAGAAATCGTTTTAAATTAAGATTAATGTATGAATAATATATTAATCAAAAGCAATGAAATACTAATTGAATGAATTGATAGGAAAGATGTAAGAGTGTGAGGAACGCCTGTAAAGAAGGATCACTTAAGTGTAGTATTGATAGCATTGCAAAGAAGTCACCTGTGCTTTGGCTACGGGTGCGCAGGATATAGGGGCTGAGCTGTCGCTAATTGAATTTGCGTATAAGTTATATAACTTATAAAAGCGCTGATAATATATATAATAATAGAGATAATAAGCGCATTAATGAATGTCTGAAGATGTGTGGACTAACTGTATGTAATGTTTTGTGCAGACCTACCGACACAAGTGCCTCCACTGACTCCGGGCACCAACCAGAAGATGACCCAAGCATTGGCCGCCAGTTTCAACAGTTGGGAAAAGGAGAGAGAATTACTGAACATTCCTAAAGGTTAGTGTTTTGTGGCCAACAAATGGGCGCAACTGTTGTGTTGTGTCGACGAGTTTGTGTTAAACCGCGTCAAACCATTTATAGATTAGTCCACAGCATAGAAAAGCACAATATATTTACACAACAGGTGTATGTGATCTGAATTTTGTAATAATTGAGTGTTTTTTGGTGTTCAACCGTCAGATCCCCGCCAGTGGACAGAAGTAGATGTGACTCATTGGCTGAATTGGGCGATCAGGGAGTTCTGTCTCGAAGGCGTTAATACACATAACTTCTCCACAATGAAAGGCAAAGACATGTGCGCTCTCGGGAAGGACTCATTCCTGGCCAGAACGCCACCATTTATGGGGGACATCCTATGGGAGCACTTGGATATACTCCAGAAAGGTATGCATTTGTCGCTAACTTTTCTGAACCTTTTATGACTTTGTTTTCTCTTGAAAATCTATTTCATTTCTGACATTAATTTTTTAAACTTTTATTTACTTTTGTAAAATAAATTTTTACTTAATGTCAAACAATTATTTGATATTAATTTAGCAAATATTGACTAATAATTGATTTGAGATGTCATGCAATGATAGGTTGACGAACTGATTTGCAGGAAATCATAGATTTTTATCACTAAAATACCACAAATCTATTAATTTGCTCACATCTGGGATACAAAAACTTTTTATGCTTTTTTTGGTTTTTATCGCATCCAAGGCTTGCAAATATAAATTAGTCATAAAATCTTTTTACTCCAAATCCATTCTCTCTCTCTCTCTCTCTCTCTCTCTCTCTCGCTGTTGTTTACAACAAAAAGGAGATAAAATTAATATAAATTTCAAATATAATGGTATTTGCAGACAAAGGAATAAATTATAAAAATAAGTTGAAGAGAAAAGCCAAACTGGAGTCTAGAGAGCCCTAACATACCTGATACTCGCTGACAATTAAAATAATGACAATTCTTTTGGACTTCGTTTATAATTTTGTTAATAAATTTTTGAGCCTAAAGTTTATGAAACAGGTTTACGAGTTGAGAGTTTATAATAATTTATAACATATAATATAAGACTAAATACCTGTGTATATAATACTGCATTGATGTGATGTATAGTGTATTGTGTTTGTCATATACTCTGGTACTGTATATAAAGGCGTATTCGTGTATTCCTTGGAGCGTAGAGAATAGTATTTGGTATAAGTTGATAATGTATTGTATATAATGTTAATATAATATATTTGGTAATGTATTGGTTGTGCTCCAGCTCTTCCATTCAGTCGACCCAATAGTCTTCCGTTGGCATCACTATTGTTAACATCCGCTGCAGAGTTGATGTGATGTTAATAATGATATGAATTGCAAACACTAGAGAGAAGACAACTTGTGATGCAAAACACAATCCCAACAAATCATTGCACTTGTGTTACCAATTCTGTATAATTTGCTGATTAGTCCATATATCCATCGCCTCCCCATACCTGCCCCCATTCAAACCAAATCTACATTTAATTTCATATTTACTCGATTTTTCGAAATGTATCGCAATTTTCAATCCCAATGCCATTAGCTTTTAAACTGTTAATTCTGTCGGACGTATTGTATTAGTGCTTCTCATCCCATATTAGTGCCGAGATTTTCGTTAAACAGTGTTTATATATAGAGAGAAATATTGTTTTGACAGGTAGTGGACATTGCATTACATCCTCAATGCTATTATATTACAATATATCCGTCCGATTGAATTACAACTCAATTTAACAATAGATTAATTTAAAATGTAAGGGAAGTCTATTAATGAATTTCTCAAATTCCGACCCAAAACAACAAATTCTCTCTTATTTTCATTTCAATTATAAATTTACAATTAGTTTGCGTTTAGTTATGAACGCGTGTACAACAAATGTTCATACGATTGTTTCAAACTTTTTATTTCTCTAGTTTTATTCATATATTTTGTTTCTCAGAGCAAAACTTAATTCTTTTCTATTACTGATATATTATTCTACATTTATTCTGTACTATAATAATCTACATTTCAATATGAATTCAGTGAATTGTTTAGTGTTTTCTAAACTTTTGACTACATGTTTGGTGTCAATTGTTTGTCGACCGAAAGTGAGACTGAAATGTCCAAATGACTAAAATGTTGAATTGTTATGAATGTATAGCTGAAATCGATAAGGAGAGGACATCCCTGGAGAACGTGCCGTCCAACTACTTCGAGCCCTGTATGCCTGACTTCAACGAGTTCTTCCAACAGGCGGGAGGGGCCGGCTATCCATTGCCTGAACACAAAGCAACTCCAGTGATGAACGGAGGCAGTAGTGGTCCGTCGTCTTCGGGAGCCTCCAGTTCTACCAACGGCTCCTTCACTGACGGTAAGGGCTCTCCATTAATATCATTAATATTAATATTTATATTATTTATGAATTTAATTCATTGACACTCATTGTGTGCCATTCATTGAGGGGTTTGAGTTGGGGTTTGCGTTTGGATCCAATTTATGAGTTATTAGCGAAAAAGTAATTTTCATATTTATGGCTCTCATTGGAGAGATTGCTTTAACAGCACTTATAGTGTATTAACAATAATAACAACAATGAGCTAATGTTGAGGACTGAGGACTGGTTCTGTAAATTATTAGTCTGGGCTGTCATACGCTCCTAACCCTCAATTGATTCCAACTATCAATTAAAGCCATACTATATTAACATAGAGTTAGTATTTTTCAGTACTTGTTATCCAAATTCATTTGGCAATTGTTATTCAAAAATAAGTATCTCTGAAGGGGTCGACACGAGAGGGGGAGGAGGGAGACTGAGAGAGAGAGCACACATACTCGTGGGAAGTTTTTAGGTCTTGTTTTGTGTTCAATCCAATTATTTATCATTAAAATTATTAATGCAATCATAAGAAACAATAAAAATAAATTTCTCTATTTTATAGAATTTTTTGTCAGTCATTAATTCAGATATTTTTAATTGAATGACATTTCAATAAAATATTAGTTCATCTAAACCTTGAATTCAATTCTTCGATTAATTTATAATCAAATAATAAATTAAAAGTAATTTAAATGATAATTTTCATTACATGTTCATGTATGCTAAGAATGAATGAATGAGTGAAATGAAAATAAGCACAAAAACGGGGGAACCGCTGCTCAGTATTAGGTCAGTGCTGTGGAAACCTTTATCTCGAAAGCGCCGGAAGTTAACTGTTATAACATTATTGTCACAAATGCCTCAAATTATATGCACTTCTTCTCAAACAACTCAAAAGCATATTCTTTTGGCCAAAGCTTTTCAATGAAAGCGAATCTGACATTTGAAAGCAAAGGAAATGTATTTTTCTCTAATACTTTGTCTACTAATCCACAAATTACAGTAATCTCTAACTTTTAATTTTGTTGATATTTTGCTTATATATGACAGCAGTTTATAATTATATTTGTTAAACATTAAACATATTTCTAGGGAATCTAAAAGAGATTGGTGCTTTAATTTTTGTTTCAACAATTTTGTTTCTTATTAAGAAATTCTTTTGCTTTAATCCAAAAATATTTTGTTAATAAAATATTGTATATTATTTCTAAGATAAATAAATGTGAGCATATTTATAGAAATAATAGATATTGTTTTTGTAGTGAGATATACCAAACACCATATTCTGTGTCTAATTGTGAGCCAACAATCAGAAAGTTATAGAAAAACTCTTTTCGCAATTGAATATGTATTGTAAGGACTCACAGAATCTGTTCATTAAAGTGGAGCAAAGATTCAGCGGATGTTTTTAGTAGTACTCAAGTTATTAACGAATATTTTCTATACAATTATTGTTTCATAACTATTTGAGAATTTTCCCACTCTTTGTGTTTCGAAGCAAATGTTTGAATTGATAATAAAATTGAGAAACAATTAGCTGTTAATAAATCGCTTTAAAAACTCTCGCTATTCATTAAAATGTTTATAGAATATTATTATTTCAATGCTTTGGGTCATAAAATGTTGCATAAAAGAGATTGCATTAAATAGTGGCAAACATTGTGCTCACACTTATTAGTAGAGTTATATATTCTTATGGTACGAGTGTTGGAATATATACCCCATTATATCCATTATATTTGATGATAGCCTTGATTTCGTTACACTAATTGTTGTGAAAAACTAGAAATGAAGTAAAAACTAAGCGCTCGGAGAGGCATAAAAAGGCATAAAAAGACATTCGTGTCCACAATAGCCAACATCTGCTGCGGCTGATGGTGCGCCTGCCTGTGCCTCGACTGACAGACCTACTGAACCCACTGCCTCTCGTTGTGTAGCGTTTTTTAAGCCCTCTCTCTGGCACTGTCTCTCCTCCTACCAGTGCTATAGTGCTTCTCATCTATGCTTTCCTCCACACAAATACCACTTCTCTCTCGTCAGTACTGTTCTCCTGAGTGACAGACATTTGTTGAGAATATAAAAAATCAAATAATCCTTATTTTTGTGCTCTTTCTCCACCAAAACTATTCCAACATTTTCTCCCAAAACCTTAATTTTGTAATAAAATTTCTCTTCGACTCTGAGTTTGTTATTTAGTGTCGGCGCCGATAAATCATTTTAGTTGTACTTTAATATAATGGTAATAATATTGATATAGTATATAACTATATTTTTAATATTACTACTTATTTCTTTTAAATATGAACTATAATTAACTTAAAAATCTTTAGGAATGTTAAACTATTCTTACTGTAATATTCTCAATGTATTTATATGAAATAAAATTAATATAAGTGGACCACCTGTCCAATGGTTGGCTGACCTTACGATGAGAGAGACAGTGAGAGAGAGTAGTCGGCAATAGATTTCCTGTCCGGTGATCGTAAAGGAATGAGATTTAGGCACAGAGTGTGTCAGTGTGTGTAAGTAGTGAGCAAAACGCCCTAACGGTGTACTTCCTGTCCGCTCAACAGTTCGTGATTTAACTCATATTTGAACACAACTTCCGTTCCTTTTTAGTCCTCCTTTTAAGTAACAGTACTTTTATTATCGGAAAGTAAGTCTTTAGGTAAAAGTGAATGAAAAGACTGCGGTTTTCATAACGTATTCAATGAGTTGACAATATTTCACGACTTTAAACTCAATTCTACACCTATTTGTGTGACATTTGTTGGACTTTATTCCTAAAGCATATTTGAAATGTTTGTTAAGAGAATTATAAATAATTAACAAAAACCTTATTCCGAGTGAAAATGAATCGAAAGATTAGATTTTCATTGACTCGAAGTGTATGTGAGCCATGAATTATGAAAGCTTCATAAATTGCTTTTTATTCTTTAGTTACTTTGAGTTCAATTTAAAGTGAATTAGGATTTAATGCAATCTAGAAATCTCTTGAAAGGTAATGTCTGTCCGCATTAGGTGTGTGTCGGGCGACCGGTCTGTGTATTTGATTGCCGTTTGCCATCTGCTATTGTATTCTCCAATAGAGTCTATTATAGACCAAAACAGGCGCTAAACAACTTTTGGCTCTTGTTTTTACGGTCAACCGCTTCTCGACGACTATAGGTTCCACTCATTCGTTGCCTTCACATTGAATTCAATTCAAATGATTGCTTAATATCTCAATGAAGGCCTTATTCTCTGATTCTGATAACAATATAACAAATATAGAAATTGTAAAATATATTTACTCGTTGTCTAAACGACTAAAATGACATTTCATTGAATCATAGGTTCTTCTTATCTTCATATCACGGAATCAATGCTTACTCTAAATGATTGTCACGAAGACCTGGGTCTTAGTCATAGTCGCTATGAGGATACCCACGACTATGGACTCGAGGCACAGACGCCGGCATATCTGGACGGCTCTGAGTTCTACCCGACGTCTAATCTAATGACAGAAAGCAAATATTCGCCACAATTCTCCACAAACAAAGCATTCAACACGAGAGGTCCCAATCGCCTCTTTGGTAATTATATGATGATTAGTGCATATAATGCATGTGCGAGGGATGACTTAATTGGCATGTGTTTCCACTTTATATTGTCTTTTCACTACTACTTCACTCACTTTTATATAACTTTATACTATATCTCTTTATACTATAATACTATATCTCTTATATAACTCAGAATTTTTTCATTTTCTAAATTCTTGACTCGTTATGAGAATCTGTGAATTAAGTGATTATGTTTTGCATCGAAAAATAGGTCGATATCCGACTCATGACATGAATGCAATGATCGACTATCCGTCTCATCAATACGAGCCGCCCCTCCAAACCGTTCCCTCATCTGTTCCGCCGACGCCATCGCCAGAGCAATGGCCCACAGAATTGAGTCCTCATAGCAATAGCGGTACACCAAATGGCATGACGTCGGGCGCACACCATCCACAGGCCGGTCCACATCACGGCCAACAGTCTCTTCATCTCTCACATCATCCGCACACGACATACACTCCGTTACATCACACCCGAGACCATCCGGCGCTGACTCACTTGACACAAATGCATAGCCCCAGTACTCAACACCAGACCCATCAGACACTACTCCAAAGTCAAACCACTATCGATGGAAAGCCCGTCATTCAAGCGGCTGTCCTCGCAGGTAATCGTACGTTACATCTCTGGGACGCACTGTCTCTCACTTATAAATCTAAGACCCAAATGAGACTACGAGTGCGAACCGCCCGCACAGACAGACAGACACTAATTAGTGACGGAAACTCACCGACAGTTGAAATGCCGCCGCCTTTCAGCCAAATGTTTTATCTTATAATAGAAACAGTGCTTTGCTTTGAGTTTTGCTTTTCTTGTCTTCAAACTGATTTTGTTTACACAAGAAATTATTTACACTTTCAATACACCTGTTCTGTCATCTCCTCTACTAATCCCCAAAACGCCTCCGCTTTCCAATTGAACACTGATTTGAACGCTCACTCAATGCTCAATATTATGTAATTGTCAGGGAGTGGACCGATACAGTTGTGGCAATTCCTGTTGGAACTGTTGACCGATAAGAACTGTCAAAACTTCATCTCATGGACGGGCGACGGATGGGAATTCAAACTCACAGATCCCGACGAAGTGGCCCGTCGTTGGGGAGTTAGGTATGCCATCACTTGTCATATGTTCAGCAGTTAATGTGATTTTTAATTTGCATTATTGTTTTGTTTTTAAAGGAAAAATAAACCAAAAATGAATTACGAAAAATTAAGTCGAGGTCTGCGTTATTATTACGACAAGAATATTATCCATAAAACTGCGGGAAAACGTTATGTCTATCGGTTTGTCTGCGATCTCCAGACGCTGTTAGGCTATAGTCCTGAAGAACTGCACGCAATGGTTGATCTCAAACTCGAGAAGAAAGAAGACGACTAATGATTGTACCGCTGAACCCATTGATGCCCTTTTGATTAGTTTTATTTGAATGAAAAGGGCATACAATTACATATTGTATTGTATATGTAATCAACTGTTTCTGTACTACAAGTCTCGTCTTCTGGTCACAAGTCATTCAACATTCGCTTCAAATCTGGACATAATTTAATGCATAATATTTAGCAAAACACTTAACAATTCATTTGAAAACTACAAAAGTCTCTCTTTTGACGGCATTTTATGCAACAAATTATTTTTTTCACAAACATTTCATATGAAATGCAAATTAATCGATATATTAGTGACCATTAATTGATGGCACAGTTAGTCGCAGAACACAATTGAAGACATATTCATATATTTAAAGACTAGTCTCTAATCTGAAATTCAAACCGAAACCGATGATTGAATTTGTATTAATGAATGTCAAATAGAGCTGACATTCAAACCAAAGAATTCGACCACAAATTCATATAATTAGTCGAAGACATCATCTCTTTGTCATCGATTCCATAACGAAAACTAAATTCAACTTTTGATAACTCGTCAGTGCTTTACATCAAACATATGAAAAATTTGTGATTTTTTTGTTTGATATTTTTCGAGGAAATCTTTTTCTAGACTGCAATCAACCAATTGTAGCGGTGTTTGGGATATATCAGTAAATCCAGTGATTATGCAATTAATTGCTTAACAAATTAGTTGTCTTATAAAATAGTCTCATATTCTTTGATTTTATATAAATTGCCTTAAATTTTAGACTAAAAAGATTTTATAAAACCAAAACTACACCGAATCAATGTTAAAATCAGTGCCTTATTTATGTGTAAAAACGCAATCAATTTGAATCGTGTTTTAAATTAAGGCTTGAATTAAATGTTAGTAGTTTTTGAAAATTTTGAACCTGCTCAAAATTATTTTTATAACGCTTTTGTAAGTTATAATAATTTTTTGCTAAACAATAATCAAACGGATAAAATACTATTGTTTTTTCTTTTTAAATTCGTGAAAGTCATTAAGTCCTGAAAAATTATTTTTTGTGTAAATTTTGCCTATTATTTTAAACATGTCTATCAACTTTACTTTTATTTTTTATATATTTTAGTCATTTTGATCAATAATTATGATTTACAGTATAAATACAATTCAAATATATTCTTAGCGCTGACTTACTGAAACACACTGTATAATAGCTCAATATATCATTCATTTCTTAATTAATTAATTAATTTTATTATTATTATTATTTTAAATATAAAACAACAGATTTTTATATAATTATATAATTAAAAAATAAAAATTACAATTTTTTAAAATCTCATTTGATATTAAGATAGAAATGTTTTCTATTAATTATGTAAAAATAATTGAATGAATTCTAAAAAGCAAATTATATTATATATTATTATTAACTATAAGAACAAAATTTTATGTAAGTTTTCAAGTAAAATATTGTGCATTAGAAATACGACTACAAAACAAATGAAACCAATTTTTAGTGCCTTATATATTATAAACGAATAAAAATTGAGTTTTCAATAATAATTTATTACGAATTTTGTATTTATTCCAGTATTTCGTATTCATTATATAATTCTATTGGAAAAACATCAATAAATATAATAGTTTTGTAATTGTTATCAAAAATATTGTAAATTAAAGTTTTATCATAGATTCAATCTCTATTTATTTTTAAAATTCCTTAATTTAGAATATATTTATTTATAAACCGGTAATACTATCATTAATGGCAAGAATATAATAGGATAATTAGTGCCATTAGCAAGGTGCAATAATAGCTTTAGATTAGATAAGAAATTTAAATTCGAGTGAATCAAGTGAAGCAAAAATACTTTAATAAGATTCTAATGAAACAAAATGATTAATAAATAACAGTATCAAGAGATTATCAAAAATACTCCATAATTTCAATTAGGGTAATAATGATTAATTCATTCATTTCTATACAAAAATAGACTCAAAGATTCTCATTAAATCGGAAAACATTGGATTCTCTTAACAAACATATAATGAATTGAATTTTAAAAATAAAACAAAACGTATGACTAATAATTAACTGAAAATATAATATAATGGATAAAACGCTGGAAAAATGTCGAAATATTGAAAGCAACTGGTGTTCAACTGGACTGAAGTGACTCTCGTGCGGACCTTTGGGTCACTTTATATAGCATTTGTCTTAAGTGAGTATTTTGTAGTTTGAGATTATATATCAAATCCGCCTGTTTTTCCAATAAGTCCTCCAAATAAGATGATGGCCTGAAACCAGACAAACACACAGACAGACAGTTAGTGAGACATCGGTGGCAGAGATGGCAATGAATGCATACCTGACTCCGATCTCATTAAGTCCGGCCGATGTGACCAAATGCTGGGGATCTTCGACACAGAAAATGTCGGGCGGATTGCGATCTCTGCGGAACCGGATCTCGTGGTACAACCATTTCATGAGAAACGGCGATATAATGGCAACCGATATGGTTATAATTATTTGTTCAAAATTGGTTGCCTTTAAATGTATTTTATCTCCAATTTTGACCACATTTTGTCCGTACATATAGAGGATTGTGGACAACAGTAGGAGTAAAGCATTGGTTTTATGCAATACGAGGGAAGGGATGAGAGATAGGGTTTTGACCAAAGAGTGGTGTTTATAGTAACCCAATATCCGAAGTCTTCGGTAGTAAACGCTTCTCATGTAATACCGGATGACAAGTATTACAAACCATATGACGATATGACAATAGATTGTCACGGAATAGGGACTCAAGAGCTTATCATTGGATTCATTGGATTCATTGAAAGCCAAATACTTTTGCACACTTTTGTCGTTCAGTGGCACCAGAAAACTGATTAATACTATTGAGATCTGTATGGAGACACAGTTTACAGTTAATGACATGTTTATTATAATTGTAAACATATTGTAAGCAATATTTGATTAGATATTAAAAGGGAAAGCATTGAAAATATGTACAAAACATGTGGTCATAAGATATAGTCATTTAAATATTGATAACAATTAAAACATTGCATTAATCAGTGGTTTAGTGGTGTTGACAGCAATACAAACATAACTGCAATTGAATGCAAATAAATGTTACAAACATATTAAATACACATCAAGTGGTGGACAGTTAGACAGACAGAGAGTGAGTGCGAAATGGGATCAAATGAAGTGACAATCAAATGAATACAAACCAAAAGCAGTGACTGAAAGACAATCAAAACAATTGCGATATTATTATTGGTTTGTGAGTAGAGGGACGACAGGTCCGTATTGTAGGGAAGGGTCAGTATCTGGAGGTCTGAGTCCATGACTGGATCGGATCACTAGTGGTATGACTGACACCACAATCACTATACTATCACTTGAACTGATCTCTCATTTTGAAGCAAAACATAACGTAAAAGACGTTTGGATTGATTGCCATTCATTGAGTCACTCAACGACTGTATGACTGAATGCGCACTCATTTCACACATAAAGGCATTCAATGAATGAATGCAACGATTGAGCGCTTCATTCAAATTGAGTGCAAAACACAATTCATTCAAACTTTTGGTTTAAAACTTTTAAAACTTTTATTTTAAAAGACATTTCATTTTATTATTCAATCAAAAACTCAATAATTAACGCAATACTCAAAAGCATGACTCGTTATGAGACACGATATATAAGATAAACAATGGTTTGAATGAATGTATCATTTGTTTGAGTCCTGACTATTGACGCGGCTTTGGATGAGTTTAGTCTTATCGTTGGTGTCGGGAATGGTATCCTCTCTGATGCGGACGTGTTTCTTCTCAGGCGGGGGCTCTGCGATGATCTCCGGGGCCACCATTCCTCCCACACCTCCCACTTCGGACACATCCTTATCCTTACGGATCTGTGACTTTAGCTCTTTGTTGGCGTCTTTAAGCGATCCAACCATTGATATCAAGTAATAGATAAACAGAACTAATAGTAAGAGTAATGGGAAGACAGCGCCGGGAGATGTGAGATAATCGACCACTTTATTCATGGTATTCGGGAGTTTGGACTCAATATAATTGGTGAGAATGTTGTATATTCTGTTGTATCCACTGAATACAAAATAGTATATCATCTCATTATTAGCCATACAAACAAACCTAATCATATGATCTTGATCAAATCTATATCTATACCTGAATGGTCCGCAATGCCAACTGGGCTCCAACCACACCACCGCATACCCCACCGGCAAAGTGCATAGGAATAGCATTATAAGCAATAAACCGAAGTAAAAATTATTACTTCTGGAGGCCTTTATATCACATGAAAACATAATAATTTTCATTAAAATTCACATAATTAAGAATAATATATAAAAGTACCTTGAACACGGTCTCATGGGGTATGTTACATGTGAGGACAGCCCACGATCTCACATACATTAACAAACATAATTTGACGGTATTTAGTGCCGGCAAACCCGGCGAGAAAAACATACCCATCCTTTAAATACATTTAAAGACAATTATGAATAAAGAGTGACTGAATTGAATGTCAACACATTGTCTCATTCAATACAAACCAGATCATTCCCTGATTGTTCACTAAATGCAAGATATTCTCAGCTATTTTAAAGTCTCCATATCCTGGGAATCTCTTTTCCAGGTCCCAGCAAATACAGGTGCAGTCATTGCAATATCTTGTATATAAAACTTTCAAATTAAATACTTATTAAGAAAGTCAAAGTAAATACCTGACAATAAGAGCCCTCAAGAAATCACTGATCAATATGGAGATGACAGTGAGCACGACATCCATAATCGTGAGTTTAACCAATTCCTGTCCAAACATGGTCTCCCAACATAGTTTGCGGAGTTTGTCTCTATCGGTCTCATTGAGTCTCATTAAGTCTTCTTCAGTGACGTTATACTTGTCTCTCGGATCACAACTCTTCTCTATATTCAAGCGAAACATTTCGGGACTCATTCGCTGACTAATAGTGGTCTCCGAAGACCAGGAGGTGTTGACACTGACAACAGTTCCCTTCCACTGTTCGGTGGTTGTAGTCATTGGCGTTGTCTTCCTCCTCCTCAAAGGGGTGCGAGGAGTGGGTCTGTGAGCTGTTGTGGTCTCAGTGGGCGTCCAAGTGTTGGCACTAAACATACGTTCAGTAGTCGTGTAATTACTCGTGTAATTAGTGTTCAAATCTATGATAAGTGTTGTGGTGGTCGTCTCGTAGTCTTGGGCCCCGTCGTCGTCTTCCCACAAATATATTTCAGTCGATGTGATCGCTTCGGTAGTACTGTATCTAAATGGTTGTTGTCATTAATAATTGAAACTCAATTAATGAGAACCTACTCTTCAATGCCATTCCGTCCCTCGATTTTATTAACTCCGAGACTATCTTTTATGGCGGGATAGGAGTACGGGTCCACTATTACTGATGGCGAGTGCAAAGTACTTGTAACGTCTTCGGGATTATAATCGTAGTCTGTATTTGAAATAATTTTAATCATTTAATTCAATCTAATTGTTTCATTAAATATTTAATAAATGTATCATAAGTTATAGTATAACTGATGCCAATGACATACCGGGATTCCTACCATCAGGTGCTCTTTTGAAGCGAATGTGTGCTTCGGTGGAAACGGCAATACTTTCTATGAGTAGCTTATTATAAGTTATATTTAATCTCATATCTGTTAGTTCTGTGGTCTGAAAGTCAAATAAAATGTTTAGTTTAATATACTTAAGAATTGTGATTAATTTACCATTGAATTCACTTTTCCAAACAATGA